AAGAAAGAAAGAAAGAAAGAAAGAAAGAAATAAAGAAAGATAGATAGATAGATAGATAGATAGATAGATAGATAGATAGATAGAGACAGATACAGAGACAGAGACAGAGACAGAGACAGAGACAGAGACAGAGAAGGAAAGGGAACAGGAAGAGCCACTGAGTAAGAGGAGAAGAATAGATTGAGCTGGAGCCTGTTTTTAAACCTAAAATTGCCAACCAACTCGGGATTGTTGAATGCATACACACGTAAACACGCATTCACGAAGCTGTAGCAAGACCCAGTACTACTAGATCACACTTTAGTTTTTTTTGCATACACACATCCGCTCCTCTGCCTGCACCACTTTGACCCACTTGCATGCATGTAGGACAGGCATACGTCAGCCAACCAAATCATACTAGTGCTTAGCGTGTCAAACTCCCATCCTACACTGTCGCGGTTCGACCCCCGCTGAGGGTGTTGATAAGACCGATGCGAGGTCGAAAGAGCAGTCCACTCCGGCCGGGATGAGAACAACTTTTGGGAAAACAAGGCAATGTGAAATTGAATGGAAACGTCAGCTCTACTTGTATCATTGTGGGAAAATTTTGCTATATCATATTCTTTTTGTGAAATTCAATGGAAACGTCAGCTCAACTCATATGATTGTGGGAAAATTCGTACCAGTCCTTCATCAGCTTAGACGAAATAGGGTGAATACATCTCATTACACTGATTTACTGGTAGTCTCAAAACTCTACTTTAATACGAAAACAAATCATACTATGCCTCATTAAGATCGCAAAGTGAGGCATAAGAAGCAAGTAGGATTTCAGCTGGCCACCTTTCCAGTTTTAGTGTTTATTTGTGGGCCTTTTTCGTGAATAATGCTTTCTGGCTGTGACGATGTCCGCTCAGCGCGGAGTCATCGGAGTCGTGGAACTGTAAGCCGAGGACTTTTGTTCACAATGCAAAAGTCTTTCACACGAAACAGTCCTACTTCGGTTTTCGATGAGACGACAAAACGAACTTCTTTCGACCAGCCTTTCCTTTGAAATGAAATGTCATGTCACAAGAAAAAATAGCTCGTGACGAGGCTTACTGCAAAACTCAGCGTCCTCATCAGAACCGTCGGGGCAGTCGCGTCTACCGTCACAGAGGCTTGTCAGCGCCACACAGTCATTGCTCAACTCGCACTTTCTCGTACCGACGGCGCACTTTTGGTTGACGACAACCAGCAACGTGGCCGGTGACGGATCTCGTTGTGGATCCAGCGGACGTCCGAGTTTACATCTGAACGGTGCATTTGGGAGAAATGATGCAGACAATAGGGCAAAGTTATCAAAGATGACTACATCCTTTTCTAGAAAACCTGAAAAAGTACAAAAACCTATAAAGGATGGACAGCTCAGAGGGCCCAATTGAATCGCAAGAAAGAGTCTTCAGGGCATTTCGAATAAAATGTTGCGACCCAAATATGGAATAAGAGTATAGATCGTCCGACGCGGCCTATTGTTATGGCTGGAAGGAGAGTTGAGTTTTCCCATGAGGAAATTGTTAGGCAATAAGAATAGGTCGACATGATGCATCCTGTGGGCATTTTTCATTGGATCTTCAAACAAGAAATTGACTGTAGATACGAAGAGAAACTTGGTTTTAATGAATCTCCTGAAATAACATTGTTAGGAAGACCTTCATTTGGTAGGAAAGTGCATGAAGAAGAGATTCGTGGGTCGATCTCACTAGATCATCCGTCCTCTTCTGGTGAGATCGACCAACGAATCTCTTCTTCATGCACTTACTTTTGGAATTAAAGTCCTCCTTACCACAAATTGACTGACCCAAGATTGCTTAAAATTAGGTAGGACAGATGGTCAAATCATAAACTAGAAATTAGGCGCCCCATAAATATGTTTTAGAGAGTCCTGATTTGCTTCATAAGTCACACCTCCTCTGTCTGTTGCCTAATAACGCTTGTGGTCGTGAGGCGGAGGGACAGATTGTATCGCCAGTTGTCGCCAGTCGCCAGGACTCGAGGTAGAGGAGCTGCGGATAAGGCGATGAGGCAAGGTCTAAGCTACAGTCCGGTCGGGAGCAAAAAAACCTTTGGGAGACAAGGCTAATTGACATTAAATGGCATCATAAGGCCTATTTAATTAATTCTAATATGAGATGTATTCACGAAATTTCGTTAAAAGTGATGAAGGACTGGTAGAAAAAGCATTTTTCCACAATGGAAACGTCAGCTCAACTCATTTTCTATTCTTCTTCTTCTACCAGTCCCTCATCACCTAAACGAAATTGGCTGAATACATCTCATATTACTGATATACTGGTAGTCACGAAAACAATACTTAATTCGAAAAATAGTTAATTGTAGTAAAATGCAACTCTCAGCAATCAACCATCAATATAACTTTATAAATGTCTATCTATCTACTTATCTACCTATCTATCTAACTACTGGTAATTACCTCAATTTAAGCGACTCAAAGTGACTCAAAGTGCTTATTCAAGATTTCTTGATCGTGTTGAACATATACACATCGACTATAAGTAAAAGCTGGACAAGAAGAATCTTGTCATCTTACTTTTAGTAGAAGGTAATTATTTTATCTGAGAGTAGGTATGTGTTTATGTATGGTGCCTTGGGTTTTAAGCCAGAGTAGTCATGATAATACAAGAACTTGGGTACCCTAAATGATGTATGGACTGAAGGTTTTACTACAAGGAGATAAGTACACCTCTGGTTGCCATCCACATCCACTTAGCCTTGCTATACATGCTATAGACTGGTTTGAAATGGTAGACAATTGATGATGATCTACTTTCCATTTGGCAGGGAAAGACGAATGGAAGGACTTTTTAACTTGGTCCAACCGAAAGCCGAAGGAAGCTGGCATTAAAGTTTTGACGATAGATTTGTGCGAAAAAGTCCCCGGAATCATCGAGTTCGTGGAACGGTTTGCCGAGGATTGTTTGCCACAAATCTAGTCACACTGTGACAGATAAGGCCTTGTAAATACGAAGTGTTAGTAAGAAATGCACGATAACAGGGAGCGGGAATAGTGGCGTTACTTTTTGGCCCACATCGTTTTGTGGACAATTTTTTCCGATATACAAGTGTGAGTTCGACATTAAAATTGATATACTACTGAGTAATTGGCTAGTAGCAGGTTTAAGTCTGATTATCTCCACCCTAAAAGAGGCCCACTCCGAGGGTATCTTAGCAAAAAAAATAATAATAAAACCAGAGTAGAATGCAACTTTGCCATATAAATTGAGTGGGGATTGAGGGGACAGAGCTGTGTGATGATAGCAAATGCATCTGGCTTGGGAGCAGATGTGATGCTACAGTCGATCAACAGAAAATTGGTCACGAGGATTGTTTTACCTCCTCCAGTGACGGATTCATTGCCTGACATGGTGCCTTACACCGACGCTGTTAGAAGGAAGGCCAGCAAAGCGTCAGAGAATATAATTCGTCAGTGCAAGCAGATGCTGAAAGAGGTCATTTTGCCGATGATGGATAATGCAGTAGATGTGGGTTACACTCTTGAAAGTCGGCCGGAAAGCATAAAGCGCTTATGCAAAAAAGGGTCAGATACTATAATCCGCTATCAGAAAAGACTTACACAACTCTACTTCATGTACAGCTTCCGCCATGTCTTCTGGATTTGACAACCTTTACCTTTTTAATCGTCGTATTTGCTACCAAAAAATAACTTCTGCAATCCCAGACTCGATATGGAGCTCATTGCTTTGAACTCAAAACTAGGCAACTAAGGAGCTTCAATGCTGCGTAGAAGGAATCAGAAACACTCACTTGAACCGCATGTTATTGTCCTGCATCTTCAGACCCTGTGGCACCTCAACTCGGACAACTGAAGGCTCCGGACGGGTGACGACAAAGCGAGTATCTCCATTCAAAGGGCGACCATCGTCGAAGACCACCTCGGGACTGCGAGAAGGATGGCTAGCTCGGCAGGTGAAGCTAAATCCAACGCCTACATCGACGACCAGGTTTTCCGGAAAATGAAGCTCCCCGATTGTTATGCCTGAAGAGACAGAAGAAATGGAAACAATCAAAATGCATTTCTAGTGTTATAGCCCTGATGTTGTTCAACGCCACGGAAAGGTTGTCCAGTAATAATTCTGTGCTAATCAGCGTTGACGCTCACAAAAAATTATTTGACAAGAGATTGTCATCTTCACATGGGAATTGGTGACTCTCGAAAAGAGGAATACGATGGAAGCTGGTTGCCACTTGATGCAGTCAATGACCCTACGGCAATACCTTTTATGGGCTCTTGAACGCTGCAGTAGTCCACTCTGGTTGGAAAATATTGATGATGGCAAGCTGACTCCCGTGCCTTACATCACCACAGAGACGCACACTGCTCTTCTCTCACATAAAACCCATTTAATATGACTACTTTATGCTATTTTTCGAATTAAGAATTGTTTTCATGACTACCAGTAAATCATTAATATGAGATGTATTCACTCAATTTTGTTTAAGGTGAGGAAGGACTGGAAGAA